GAGCTGAAGCCGCTATCGGTCGGATGTGCACGCCGAAAGCCCGATCGGGAAATGTTACGGCACCGCAGAGTCTAAGGGCGGAGTTTGCAGCCGGGGGGACAAGACGCATGGCCCTGGTTCGCCAGTTCCTTGCTGCTGCTGGTGACAAGGACACCGAACGAAGCCTTTTCACAAAACCCCTTGACCCCATGCCCCGCTTTTGCAGGATGCCTTCGTCCGCCGGGTGGAGCACATGCTCACCAGGAGCCGCAAGCAGAAGACGAAGAGAACCTTTGGTTGGTACACCAAGGAGAGGATGAAGACTGGTCTGGGTTTCAGTGCGATTCTTGCCTTAACTTGGGTCACCTAAATTTTAGGTGACCGAACCTCCAAAGTCCAGGGCCTGTTTTCTGCTGTGCATTTACAACATGTTGTGCTGAGGGATCGCATCAAAGCTGTCATCGCCTACTGTACTGCCCCCGAGAGAAAGAAGACCCATGTGAAGCTTCTTGGGTTGCAAAGATTTACATATCCACAAGCACACATGGGTTGTCGGATCCTGGGTATCATAGTTCCGGCCGCACAGGCGAGACCGCTACCAGCACACGGTGAAGCTCTACTGGGTTGAGCAGGACTTTATTGCCGAGATCGAGGACGAGCAGGAGGAGAGGTTCCAGGACACCCGGTCCGGGCCAGGAAAGGGTGGTGAAGACCCAGCACCCCTCTCGGGCCTAAGTGGTGCGATGATGAGGGAGGATGAGGAGTTTGATGAAAGCGACCATTCCGACTCGGGGAATGAGAGCGATGGGGACGGACCGAAAAACGGACCCGGTGGGCCCAACGGACCCAAAGGGCCCAAAGCAAAGCCCAACCTGAAGCCCTCCAAATCAAAGGTCGACTTGGAGTATGAGAATGCTTTGGAGGCCGCAGCCAGTCAAGAACTTATTCAAATAATTATTATCCCAAATCCCCGCCTTCTGCAGGCTGTCGACAATGTGGAGGAGATTCTGGAGCAGGTCCTGAAGATTCGGAACAAGTTGGAGGACCAGATGGCCAAGCTCGGGAAGATCAAGGATGGCGACAGCCAGCAGAATCTCACGCAAGCAACCTCGTGTCACATGAGCAAACCCAGCCTATCCTTAACTAGACTCCCAACACCAAGAAATCAACACCCGAACTGAGGGCTCTGTCTGCCATGAAGAAACGTGCCGAAAAGATCCTGAAGCTTCATGATGATGTCGCCGAGCTGAAAGCCAACTTCGATGCTCACAAGAGCCTGAGTGCACAGAACCGTGGCGAGTTTTGGTTAAAGTCCAGGTGTACAGGTTGCATAATATATGGTACCAGCCTAGTCGACATGAAAAACCTAAGGGAAATCAGCTCCTTGAACAAGCACATGACTGAGATCGAGAAGGAGTGCACGTCTCAACGGTGTGTTTCATGTCCTTCTGGAATGATGTGGGTTTGCCGTATGTGACAATACTTTCGCTTGGCTTTATCTAAGGTGCTCACTGGCTGTTATGGAGGAGAGGAAGCTTCGGAAGCTTCTCGGCCGCCGTAATCAAAACTGAAAAAGATGCTAAAGCAAAGAACCATTTGGGTCGTGTGTCTACTCAGGACAATCTTGAAGCCCGTGAAGCGGGTTTCTGAGAAGGCTGTGACTGATCCTGCACCGAAGTCCGGAACTTCTGTGAAAGGCAAAGGCAAGGGCAAAGGCAATCGCCGAGTACGGGCGAGCTAGATAGAGTTACATGGATGTGGATAGCCTGGGTCACTTAGACTCCATGATCCGAAAATATTTAAAGTCGGAAACCTTCTCATTAGGCTTATATTAGCTCTCCAACCCAAGATTCTCAAATCAAATCGCACGGATGTGGACCTGTGCCCCGGGCTGGGTATCGATCTTCGTCTTGCTGCTGGGCAAACCTGGTCAGCATAGTTACTTCCGTGTTTTGCACACGAAGTTAGTAGTTAGGGGAACTTATATGTTCTTTAATGGGGGCAACAAGTTGAGAGTGCTTCTCTTCAGCTCCAGTGGTGCCGCAGATTGGTGTGGGGTCAATCAAAAAGATGCTCGAAGCTTGCACTTTGGATGCCAACCAACCCTAGCCCTAGCAATAATTACCTTAAGCCCTCCGACCCCCGCCCGACGCAGGATCTCCGTCGCCTTCGAATTCTTTCAAGAAGGCCAAGCTGGCAGCAGCACGTCCTGCCACTAAAGCTCTGGCCGGGGCGGTTGCAGCTGGGGCTCCTTTCTAGGAATAGCAAAACTTTCCCAAACTCGGGCCATGCGGAACCTTTACCTTTTGTCAGCCCGAATTCAATGTCTGTCTTATAGGGGGAAGTAAATAAAGATAAACCCATACATAAAGTACATATACATGCATTCATTCATCTATCACATATATATATATATATACACACAAGTCTTAATCATAAACAATAACTATGTATAACTAGTTAAGATAGATACGACTCTAGGTGGGATCGACAATTGATTTGTTCCTTCACACAGAGATTAGCCTAGGGTATCGCTTTGGGAAGCCTCGCACTAGAGAGATAATTGCTGTCATCAGTGACGATAAGTTGGTTGTGCTTGCTACCGTTGTTGCTGTTGTGACTAGCCTTGTTGTATCCCTGGTGTCGCCGTTGTGGTCGCTTCGTCGTGTTGCTGCTGTGCTATTGGTGCCGTTGTTGATGCTGCTGCTGCTGCCGCTGCTGCCGCCGCTGCCGCTGCTGCTGCTGCTGCTGCTGCTTTCCGGCATTCCTGCTGCTTTTGCTGGTGCCATCGCTTTGCTATGGCTGATGCTGCGAGTGTGCTTACCGTCCTACTAGTACAACACTGCATTACATCCGTATGTCACGACAGCAAACTCCGGAGTTACAAAGAGTTGCCCCTTGGGCAAGAACTGAAAACAACCAATTATCCTGGCACCCAAAGAATATAATATTTTCAGGGTATCAACATCGGCTTTGCCTGCTGTGGCTTAGGTGAGTGAGCAGCGAGCCTGTGCAGTGGCCGCAGCTTTCGCTGAAGAGTTGGCTGAAGCGGGTGCAACTGTGGCATCCAGCAACTTTCTATCTGATCTGACTCGACTCCACCGCACGGGTCATGAGCATCGTCTGGGGGAGGTTTTGGAGAAGAATGGGTTGCAGGCTAAAATATCCACGACTTGGGTGAATATCGGCATGAAGAAAAAGCATCCTGTGCTTCGGATCCAAGATTTTCTTGCCGGGCTTTCGAAGGTTGATAAAGTTGGAGAGATGCTTTTGCAGGGCCACAACTTCGATGATCTACGCCAGTTCTGGGAGTTGTTCCGGAACCATCGACCTAACCATCCTGCTTTTCAGCATCATGAGCATCATCTGGAGAGGTGTGTGCCTTTGTATTTATTTTGTGACGAGGGCACTGGGCCGAAAAAACGAGGCCTTCTCGTGTTGCAATTCCAGCCAATCTTGGCCAAAGGATCACGAAGAGCCGAAGACATCAATCTCGCTGGCAGCACCTATGTCAACAGATTTCTGTATTCTGTGTTACTTGCCAACACATATTCCAAGAGCAAGCTTCCTCTGTATCGACTCCTGGAACATTGGGCAACTGATCTGGTTTCTGCTTTTCATGACGGAGTTACAATTTCTCTGGGAGGCAAAGTAAGCACCATATACCCAATTGTCTTGGGCCTGAAAGGCGATCTGGCAGGTTTGGTCAAAATGGGCCGATTAACGAGAAATTGGTCTCGAGATTCTCCAACGAAAGCCAATCCACCTGGCATATGTCATCTATGTCAGGCTGGAAGAGCCGCCTTTCCGTGGTTTGAGATTGAGAGGGATGCCAAGTGGTTGAGGGACCCGAACGCCACAAGAGATCGACCGTGGCATCACCCCAGCCCTCTTACAAAGATTCCTAGCGATCTTACAGGGGGCTTCTTCCTCATCGACACCTTCCACACCCTGCATAAGGGTGTAGTCGGCGATTTTGGGGCGAGCTCCCTAGCAGCTAGTCGCGATTGTGTCACATTTTTTAAGTTATCTTTTGTGGACCTTTAGATAGACCCAAAAGTTCCTAATTGTATCTTTATTATCTATGCATTTCATTGTTCGTTATTCTAATACTCTTGTCCCAAAGGTCGTCCTGATGGATTTGGACTTGGTTGCACCAGGGTCGTTTCAAATTCGTTGCGATGCAATCTACGAGGATCTTAGCGGCTACTGCCGTGGGGTTGGTCTCAACTTACACATGGTCCGCTTGACCAAAGGCCTTCTGGGGCGACCTACAGCAGCAGATTTTCCTTCAGCGAAGCTCGAGCTAGATATTATCGGTATTGGGTTTTCTGGCTACTGTATCCGGTAAGAGCTTAGGATATGTTCTGATTTTATACACTGTATTAGGTTCAGGTATAGCTTTTTTTCCAATTTTCGTTGGTACGGGCATTAGAAATCGTTCAGGAGCTGGTTCAAGGGGGCCGACACGAGATGCATTGTACGCTATATAGAATGGAAATATGCCAGGGCTCTCGCTGACTTTTCTGGCAACAATGACGATGAGGCATACATGACCCGTATCTTGCAAGTTGCCAAACACGCAAATACTTGTCTGAGCATGCTGTACGAAGCCCCTCTTTGGATGGAACCAGACACTGCACGAGCTATTTCGGTTGAAGGCCTCAACTTCCTTCGTGGCTTTAAGAAGCTGGCTTCGATGGCATTGAGAAGGGGCGATCCGCGATATCAAATCGTGACGAAATTGCATTTTTGGGCACACATCTGCTGGGATTTACGGTTCCAAGCTGATACTGGCTTTCCCGTGCTCAATCCATTAGCATATTCCTGCCAGATGGACGAAGACTATGTTGGCAAGATTTGTTCGTTATCCAGGCTTTGCCACGGCAGAACGATTCATTTTGCTACACTGCAAAAGTACAAGATCAACTTGGCTCTGAGATGGTAGAAAAAAGGATCGCTGTTTGTTGCCTCAGCCTACAATTTTGAACCCCGAGGGCCCAGAGACACTCAAGGCAGTCCTCCATAACATCGAACCAATCCAGCAGCATAGCTCGACCTCATCGCCATATGTGTTTTTTACGAAGCAACCCTGTACCCTAACCGAACTTTGCTCACCAAATAAGCCCCAGGCATTCAAGAATCTCGATCTTCTCGAAAAGGATATTCACATCAGGAGCCAAAATAGTCAACCGCAGAAAGCATACACCGCAGAAGTCGTACACTGATTTTCAGTTGCCGAAATAAAACAGCAACCGTGGGGGTTCAGGTAGGGTTTAGAGGTTTCGGGGTTTAGGGCCTGTACACCCCGCAAACCCTGAACCCTAAAGCTCGTGGGCAGGCTTTCCCGTGCCTCCATGGCTACACTGTCCCAGAGATCTGGATCTCCGGTGGCCCGGGTTGTCTGTGGAGGAGTTCCTGCGGAGCTGAGGGTTCAGAAAGGAGTTCAGGGTCTCTTGTTGGGCTTATAGGTTGAGCTAGACCCAAGAGTAACCCAGGCATAAAAAGGACGCCCTTTTTGGTTTAAAGGGGCTTATAAGGGAACCTGAACCCTAAAAAAGGGAATAAGGGCCTACTCTGGGTCCTAGTGAGGGTGTAGGGCTCAGGGGTTAGGATTTCGGGAGCATGTTTCAGGGCTCAGGGCTTCTGGGGTGCAGGGTTCAGGTTTTCGGGTTCAGGGTGTAGGGTTTAGATTGATACATGTAGCCGGACTACCTTTGCCATGACGGCTATGCTGTGAAATGATACAGTAGAAGCCAGAAAGTTGGAATATCATTATCGTAACCCCTTTAAGGTAAATTATCGGGGATCCTGCCATCAATCCATATTCCAACTTTCTGGAGTTCCCTGTAAAGGTTTGGAATCGGCCGTTGCTGATGAACCTGAGGATGAAGGACATGAGGAGGATGCTGACTAGGATACCCAGTAACCTGAGAATAAAAAGGCCTCTCTTTTTGGTATTGGGTAACTTTATAAGGAACCTAGGAAAAGGCTAAGGGTACTACTGGGCATCCTAGCTGATGATGACCGGCACGGTAATGAGGGCTATTTTTCTAGACTAAGATGTTGATGGAGATCGCGACAATGAGGCAGACAGTTGGTGAAGCTGCAGATAATGCTCATGATGACGGACATGTCAGGGATTGTCTAATTGTCACGAAGTGTTGCTAGAACGCAAGGTTGTCGGCATCGGTCCCCGAAAATATGTGCATTGCGCCACAAGCACACGGGGAAAATGCTCGAATCGCATACTCGAAGGCCCCATCAAGCCCGCACCAAGATTTAATTGCTGCTCTTCACCCCTGCAGCCACAGCAGACCAACTCATCACCCTAAACCCTAAACCGAGAGTTGTTTGCTTCTCAGCCCCATAGGAACCCGACAGCCCCAGACCGGTGAACTGCTGACTGTTATCCGTCCTGGCCCAGGTGGACTCATCGGTGTGGCATCTGCTTTGGGTGGTTCCGGCGGCGGCGACGGTGGCGACGGGTGCGGAGGCAGCCGAGGTTCCTGCACCCAGCCGGTGAGAGTTAAAGAACATACAGGATCACAGTGTAGAGCCCGTAAACAAGAGATCCGCACATATATCATGAACTCCCAAGTGAGATAAACTCCCGACGCCACATCCTTGCAGAACCCTTAACACCCCGCCCGCTGTTCCACAAGAAAGCAGCAACAAGATACTCGTGCCCCGGATTTGCGTGAAGCTTCGGTAGCCTGTGGGGCTCGGCGCCCAGGGCAAAAGAGATCATATCTCATCTACAGGATCTACAGGGTCTATCATGCAGCTAAGCGTGCTCGTTATTTCTGTCAGTTTTTTGTTTAGGAGTTGGGGTTTAGGGTTTGCCTAGCTATCTTCCTGTTTGTGTATCTATCTATCTAGCCATCTTCTTATCTACCTACCTACCTACTGTACCTACCTACTTACCTACCTACCTGCCTACCTATATAGGTGTCTATCCATAAACAGACACACACACAGAAACTACAATATATGCAACAGCCCTATACCAATCATTTACGCACCTATGTTAGCCACCTCAGAAGGGGCCCCAAACAACTGGGTCTGGTTCAAGTAACGAGTTGAGAGTTTCGGAAAAATGGGGTTTAGGGTTTAGGAGTGGCAAACGTGTGATATGCAGGTATGCAGATCCAGATAGACAGACGGATAGGCAGACGAATAGACAGATAGATATATAGACAGATGGATAAGACAAATAGCTAGGTAGGCAGCATATAGATAGCTAGATAGAAGACTGCATAGCTAGCTAGACAGGCAGATAGACGATAAAGATATAGACAGATGGATAGATCGATAGATAGGGTGGAGATCGATAGACAGACAGGAGCATCTGTGCCTATCCTTGTCCATTAAGCACTAGCAGCTGGGAAACGCTAGCCGTACCTGGCATTACTCGTCACCCAGGGCTCTGTCCATTCAGTAGCTAGTGTGTTATGTATTGACCTCGACCGGGGATGGGGGATCCACAGTTATTGAATCCAAGTTCCTCCTAAACCCTAGAGAACTCTGATACTCAAATAGGGGTACATGGTCCCAAATAAGGGGCATTTAGGGTCTAATAGAGGGTAGATGGAGTAGGAGTTTCAGTTAAATTTAGGGGTACCTTTTTTTGGGGTCCTCATACTAGGATCGTACTACTTAGGGTACTATCTTAGGGTCCCCTCTTTTCGCAAACTCCCATTTTGGGTCCTTTACGAAGATCTGGTTTGGGGTATCATATTGTGCAGGTCGTAGTGGTCCTACAAGGACGTACTACCACTGGTTCTTCAGATCCCTTCACTGAGGGCTTGGGTGATTGGTGCTTCCAGGGGGCGATGCTTCCGGAGAACCCTAAACCCTACACCGTAAACCAGATCCCCAAGCCCAAAAGGGAACCCTAATATAGTATCCTAAAAAGTAGGATCCTAATAAAGGCCCCAAAATAAGGTACCCCGAATTTTAGGAAACCCTCAAAACTAGCTGCTCGAAATGAACCCGTAAGATGCCTTAGCTACCAAGCTGACGAAGGCCCAAAGCAGCCTGATCGAAACCCCAAACCCTATAGTGAACCCCAGAAAGTTGGGACATTGATTTAGAACAATTCATGCTGGGACTCCCTATACTTTACTTTAAGGGCATGAGGCTAATGATGTTCCAACTTTCTGGCTTCTACTGTAGTAGCTGAACGTTTTGAACTGCAACTAAATAACTGTCAGGGTTCCGGGCCAAGCTTCGAGGTTCAGGAGGGTTTTGCAAGAAGAAGAAGAAGAGGTTAGGGTTTAGGCCCTACACCTCAAACTAACCCTAACCCCTAAACCCAAACCCCGAACCCAAACCCTAAACCTCAAACCCCAAACGTGTAGGTTCAACATTCTTGCTTACACCTCCACCCGGAAGCTCTTCCTCTCGTCATAGGGGCCTCCGTGGCCATCCTAGGCCGTTTGAACCTCGGCAACAGCTTTAGGCTTTAGGGTTTAGGGTCCAGGCTATAGGGTTTACGGTTTAGGGTTTAGGCTTTGGGGTCATGGGTATAAGCACATGTGTCGAGGGTTTAGGGTTCGTCGTCTGGTCTTCTTTCAGTGCGCGCTGAAGGAAACTTCGATCACATTCAACGCTTAGGCAAACAGCTGCTAAGGGCCCTCTCAGCCATGAAGTACTCTGACAAGATGGACCCTTGTGGTCCATCAACAACATATACAAGCCAAGACCGAAATTTCGAACACAAGCCGGAAGCACCGACTGCAAAACAAAGCAGCGATCTGTTGGCTACCACTTTGCCCCTGAAGCTCGAAAGCAAACTACTCAAATTAAGCCAAATACAAAGTTCAATCCAGCAGTCGCAATTCAAGATACAACCCCCTCCCCCACCCCCCCCGCCCCCCGAAACCTAACCTCGCAGCCGAAATCGCCGTGCGAAAGAAGCAGTAGTAGTGGTCGTCACTTCAATAAGAGCCGCTGACGACCCGTCTCGTGTTGCTGCGGCCATGCTCACACGCCAGACGCTGCCCGGCCACGTCGCATCATCACAGTCACCGTCATCAGCATCACCAGAAAGGATGGACTAGAAGAACCGTTGGCGATGATGGTGATGCTGATAGATGGGAGACGAAGGCCATGATGGTGATGCGATAGTTGGGAGATGAAGATGATGGCAATGATGATGATGACGACGACGATGCTTATGCTCATGAAGATGGTCATAACGAAAGTGCTACTCACGAAATGCATGGCCACGGGCATTGTAGTGCAAGAGACGGTGCTAACGATGATGACGATCACCGACTGCAGCTCAGACCTCGCAATCTGTTTCACCGTGTTGTTTAACATAGCGGTCCACCCCAGCTAGTACTTGTGCTGCCTGGGGTGGTGGTGACACATGTGAATTCGAATAAAACATATAGTGCAAAAGTTTGAAGATCTTGACCAGGCATCATCGTGGGCATCTTGCCCATAGGGTCCATTTACCCATATGTAAAGTCGTTGAAAGAATGTTTATGTCGGAACATTCGGGGTCGAAGTGTCGCGCCATATTTGGGTACATGGACCCTTGGGTCGTTAATGTTCAAAAGGAATCAATGAGTTGTCGAGCCGCATGACGGATGCGGGCCACGGTCGTCGCAGAGCTCTGCCCACCAAGAGAGTGTGAAATGGAACTTCCGCCCGCCTCAGACACCGTGGCGCAGTCCCCAAAAGTGCCTGCTAAACCTGCAGGGTGCCGCAAAATATCCCAGTCTAAAACACAGTCCAGGATGAGATTGACGGGTGTAGCACCGAGCTCAAGCTTCGTGCTGCAGTAGTGCAGGAAAAAGAACTCGCCCATCGCGTGTTCTCGACGCTCTAGGCGCCGCCTTGTGACGATCAGTAGCCTCTGCAATGCACTTCTTCCCTCGCGGGCTTGAGCAATCTCAATTCTCGACTGAAGTGCACGGAGAGAATCTCCGAGCAACACGCTGGGTGCCAAGGTTTGAGGCTTCGTTTGCCAGCAAGTGTCAAAGTAGCGCAAAAGGAGAAAGATGACGGAGCCTTCGAGGACATTGGTGGCAAGCACGAA